TCTTTATCTTGACCAATGTTAACCTCCAGTTTTCTCTATTTCTTTGGACAGGCCTCAGCAGCATCACATTCCTTACTTCTTGCTTGCTAAAGTTCTATTTGCTTTACACAGTTGGATGTGTCCAACATATCTTCCATGACTAAGAAGTTGGTCAGCAGCATTTTGGCTTCTCCTGTTTGGAATTTCCACTCTCTTGAAGAGCTCTAAAGAGTCACGGCAAGACAAAGGGACCCTCTCTCCTAGTGATTTATTATATGCTGCTCCCACTAGCCAGTCACACTCGGGGGGAAATGTCAGGATTGGAGCAGAATCATCTACTGGCTGGAGTATTGATGGCCTGGAACTGGAATTGATACTCTTTGGATGGCTGCCTCCAAAGATTGTCCAAGACTAGCATATTTTCACTGTTAAAGACACTTCAACTCCAAACCCAAGACCTTGTTTCCAACATAGCAAAATTATGCACAGGAAAGAAGAACACAGAGCATCATCAAAGTCCTGGTCAAAAGTGGTACTGTTTCATTTTGTAACTTCAACCTGCTCTCCAAATAAAGTTTGCTTCTAAGAAGACAGACACCACAGAATATTCAAAGGAAATATTTCAGTGAGTGTGTACAGGAACACACTGTGGGGGGCCGGGGGTGGCAGATGTCTTTAACAGGGTGAGGCTTTTTAATTTTCTAAAATAAAATAACCTACACTTCACCACATGTATTTCATTTCAGAAAAGCTCAGGAACTAAGTGCACTCAGGCAATTATAAGGCATTTTCATGTGAGGAACATCAATAACAAAAGGCTATTTTCATACTGTAATTAACTGTAAGGAATCTTAAATTTTCATGTGGTTATTAGAACATATTGCCTTTGATTATATAAAACCTATTTTATCTAAAATCTTAGGTCCAATGTATGTATGCAACATGAATGAATTAACAATTTTCCATGTGTAAAACCATCTCATTAGAAGTTTGGTTAAGATGCAGTTTTAGTTTTCAAGGATCTCTCTCTTTTTTTTTTTGGCCAAACATATGATCAGAGAATCAAGTGTCTTGCTCAAGGTCATTTGGTCAAATTAGGTGGGACCAGAATGACTGGTTTCTACCATAAATCAAACTTTTCTTGGAACTAAGCAGGCCAAAAGAGAAATACCATTCCTCATTTCCTCTCCTCAATAATCTAAGGACAAAAGAAAAATCAGTTTAAATGACAGAACTTCAATCAAATTTCATCAATGCATTGACTATTACCTCTAACCATGCACCAGCACCTCTCACAAAATTGGTACCTTTTTAAACAATTTGCAGAGGTCAGTAACCTCCATACAACCTTCCATTATGACAGCACCATAAACTTACTAAGATGTTTTCAAATCAGCACTTTATAGATGTACAATCTATAAATAGTTCACTTCTCTTATCTTAGAAAAGACCTGGTCAGACTGGAAGGTAGATGTACTGAGCTCTTAGACTTTTTTTTTTTTAAGTTAAAGGATCATAAGTCAGTTCAAAGTTTTCTTCAGAACCCTGAAAGAATACTTCACCAGTGCAGATGAAACAAGTGATCAAGTTAAGGAGAATCACTCAGGCTGTGGGGAGGAGGCTACAGAAAATGTATGCATTGTTATCATTATTATCGACTTCCTCTTCTTTTTTCTAATCCACCACCTCCTTCATATTTTTTGCCCCCATCCTTTTCATTTCCACTTTTAAACTGGTAAGACATGCTTCTGAATTAATAACGAAGACATAATGTCCAATGAAGCCATATTTAAAAATTACTAACTGAATGGGGATATTAAAGTAACTAAGAGCACTCTGTATATAGTCATATTTAGTAATATTCCACACAACCAATTTTCAAGGTTAAATGATACCATTACCCTCATTTCAGATGACCCTTAAGTCCATGAAAATTTCCCTTTGCTCTCAGACTATGGGTCACTAATATTAAAAGCTGGCACAGATCTCAAAAATACTAAGTTAACGGTTAGGCTAAAATTGTGGCTGTGTTACAGTGTACATGAACAACTATAAAACATTTTTAACTAATATGACTTTAACCTCAAACTCAAGTCTACCTATTTCTGAATATAGTTGTAACACTTTCTTAGAGGGATGATTTCTCTTTAGACCTTGAACAAAACATGGTCACAGGGTATACAAAACAAATCAAAGCCAGACTGGAAAAAATTAAACCTGGAAGGAAATACAGGTCTGACACTTTCCATTATGCCAGAAAACAGAACTGTCATTATCTGGAAATGTATTAAGTCGAGCTAAACATACAATTGTTTTGACCTGCAAAAATGGAAACTTCATATGGTTCAACCTAGTATTGTTTTCTAAGCTCATTTTAATAATTGTCTCATGGAAGGTCTTATCCCAAAGCAAATAAAACCTTGTATTTCTCTAGACTACCTTAACCTTTTGAGAAGATTTACTACCCCACTGTCCAAAGCTGGTCATTTGAAAAACTAAATTCATTAACAGAAAAGTCAAGATACACAAAACCACCAAAATGCTCAACGTAACTAGGCTTCAAGAGCCCTAAAACCACTACACATCCTTTTTACTGTTCCCCTTTTTCACTAACAGAATTTGAATCCTAAAATACCTTTTTGAAGGTATTTTCACTTCTGGATAAACTAGTGAAAATATAAGCGCTTTGCATCTTTTTCAGTTATCAGTGACAGGAATCTAAGCATGGGAGCAGCCCCATCACTTGACACTGGAGTTCCACTGACCTAAAAGTCTACTGTTGAGAAATTTTAATGAAGTTGATAAATTCCATTTTTGTTGGAGAATCTGGTTTCTAACTTTTCTAAGCAAAAGGGTGCTTACCATCCCAGTGGGATATATTTTGCCATTTAGATATGGCTATTTATTCACCCATACCAGAAATAAACTGTCAGTTTCACAAGAGGGGTATGGCTCCAAGACTGCCTCTAGGTTCAAATCCATCATTTCACACTCATTTTTATGAAGAGTTAAATATCCAATATATTAATGAACTGTTTTCTAAATTAATTCCACTAATAACTCACTTGTTCTTATTCTGCCAAAATTCCTATCTCCTCATCTGATCCATTAGACCACACATACTGTACCTTCGTAGGACGATGCTTTTCCCAAGACAGTTTAGAAACTGTTAGGGCAATCTGATGTTGCTTGTTCTATTTCCCTAAACCTAGCTTCTAGAATAAATCTTCAATATTAAGCATCAAATGAGATAGGCTTTAAAAAAAATAATCAGGAAAGAATCTCCTGCTCTATCTGGAAATCTCTGTATTCAGCTGGCTCAGTGTTGACAGGTCGAGAGAATGGCACCAGTCATCACTACCATCCTAAGGGGCATTCATCCATAGTCAAACCATCGACTCTTTCTTAACATCTGAACAACCTAGACTTTCTATAGCAGAATTATTTTCCTTGCCCCACCTGCAACAGTATCTTCTGATCATTTTTCACCATAAACTGAAGTTTTCTCTAGAGCCCTGTGGTGATGCCAAGTCAGGTAAACACATTCCTTAAACCTTCTACCTACTCCATTCTTTCTCTAAAGTTACCTATAACTGTTTTTCTTTAATTCTCTATGAATCCGATACAGTGATAAGTGCTTTAAAAGGTAATCTATTTCCATCCTTAAAACCCTATGAGGTTAGGATTAGTTCCCCCATTTTACAGAGCAGAAAAGCTGAGACTTAGTAACTTGCCCAAGGTCATACAGGATGGGGATTTGAATACAAGCGTGACCTCAATGTCGTCTGACTTTAACTCTCATGCTGTATCTTCTACTAATCTCCTTCTTCATGTCCTAACTGTCTGCTCTGTGGTCTTAGAAAGTCTATGTTTGGGCAGGGTTCAGTTTTTCCATCGGCCGTTTTTCCTTTAAAGGACATGCCTTTGAGAAGAGTTAAGTACCCATTTCATCTTTTCTCCATGCTCCTCCTTCCCACCTGGCACCACTTCCCCAAGGCCCTTATCATATCTCCTCCTCTAGGGCCAATTTAAAAGTCCCTCTGTTCCCAGAGCAAGAACCATAGGATACGAAGGGCCACCTTTTGCCCTCAAGGCTAGAAAAGGGACTAAATGAAACAAAGGAACAGCCCAGACAGCACCCCTTCCCAAGTCTTCATTCAGGAGGAAACTGTGGCTGGGGACCCGAGCGGGGGCCGATTTGGGGAAGGGTAATTAGTACGGGAGCGGAGGAGACAAGGGTGTACCCTTGGGGGTAGGCGGGGCAGGGAGGCAGCGAGGGACGTCAGGAGTTAGAAGGGGTTAGTAGACAGAATGGGGGGTGGGCAGGGCCCCCGGCGAGGAGAGGGATCCGGCCGCTCGCAGGAGAACGTGTGAGCTGGGGAGCAGGACCTGGAGGTGGACATAACAGGGCAAAGTGGAGGGAAGGAAGGGGAGGTTAGGGGAGCAGGAAACGGTGGATTCGTCCTGGCAGCAGGGCAAGGATGGAGGGGAGCCGGGAAGGTGGGGCGCCTCGAGACCCGGTCCGAGGGCCGACCAAACAGGGGTGGGCGGGCGGCGGGGGTCGGGTCCGCGGAATGCCGGGAACCGGGGCTTGAGGAGACCCCGGGGGACGAGGAGCGGGAGCTCTCCGGCCGGGGAGCGGGAAGCGGGGGTTCCAAGGAGGCAACGGCGTTTAAGGGGCGTCCTGGCTCGAAGCGGGGGTGTGTGAGGAAGGCACCGTCGGGTTCGCGGGAGTGAGGTTAGGAGGGCAGGGCGGGGGCGGAGGCCGGCCGGCGGAGGTGGGTTCCGGAGCCTGGCCGGGGTGCTGAGGGCGGGAATATTCTAGCGTCCCCCGAGGGCCAGGCGTGGGGGCTCCCGAGGCTCGGGCCGGGATCCCGGGGGTCTTGTGAGGGCCAGGATCGGGGTCGCCACCCGGCGGAGGGCTTCCGAGGGCTGAGGTCCCCTCAGGGCGGGGCAGAGATTCCCGGGCCGCCCCTGCGGCCAGAGCAGCATCTCCCCCGGGGCCCAGACTCCCTTCCTACCTATGCCGGGCGCCACATAGACGAAGTAGAGCAGCGAGGACGACAGCGAGAAGAAGAAGAGCGCGGCGAGCAGCGAGCGGCGCGGCAGCCGCAGCAGCCCCCGGCGGACGCGCATGCTGCAGCCAGGAGGCCGCTCGAGGGCCAGGCCGGGCCTGCTCCCCGTCCGCCGCCTCCTGGGCCGCCGCCGCTGCCTGGGCCTCGGCCACCACCTCCCGGGCCTCGCCGGCCGCCGCCGCCTCGCCGCTCCCAGCCGCCGGCCACCGCGGGCCCGGCCACATGAAGCGGGCGGGGGCCTGAGCGGCCCGGAGCGAGCGCAGCGGCGAGGGCGGGGCGGACCCGGCCGCGGGGGCGGGAGGGGGCGGGGCCAGTCCCGCCGGGCACCGTCGCTAAAAACCAGCGCGCACGCCCGCCGCCCGACCCCCTGTCCGGCCCCCGCGGCGGCGCGGCGGTCCACAGGGAACGTCGACAAATGGCGACAGCCCCTCTCCCGGCGCGGCCACCGCCCAGGCTTTCCGCGAGCGTCGCTCTAGTGCTGGTTGGTTCCGCGCAAGGGCGCCCCCAACCCGGCAGAAACGGCGGTCTGTAACATGTGACGCTGCCAGTCGCCCACTGCGACATGAGAGCGAGGATTGAGAGCATAGGGGCTCCGTATACACCTTCATTCATTCATTTATTCATTCAACTCACCATTTATTCAAAGCCAGACATATGTCAGACACTGTTCTTAGTGCTGGGGATGCTACAGAGAACAAAACAAAATCTCTTCTTGAATTTATGCTCAAATGAGAGGAGAAAAAGAAACATCAATTCATAATATCAGGTTCTGATAAGTGAAGACAATAAAACAGAAGAATGTGTGGGGAGGCAGGCTAGGGTAATCAAGGAAGGCCTCACTGAGCAGGTGACATGAAAGGGTGAATATCAGGTGCAAAGGTCCTGAGGTTAAAGACCTGGTCTGTCCCTAGGTTGACCCCAAAAGCAGCATGGATAAAATCTTGTGGGGCAAAGAGAGTGTCAGGGTTGACGTTGGAGCTCAGGGTGCACATAAAGAGCATAATGATAACAGCTATGAATGAGAAGACTCTTCAAGATACATTGAGCTTTGCTTATCTAATGAATACCCTCTACAGCCCTGAGATGTGTACTCTTTTTCCTATCGCACAAATGAGGAAACTAAAGCTATTAGATGGGGAAGCAATTCACCCATGTCCTGCAGTGAGGGCTCAAATAAAAATTCTCCCAAGGCAAACCCTTGACCAGTAAATTGCAACTGCCTCAGCATTCCATTTGGCCCCTAATTCTCATCCTGAAGGCAAATTGGTATCCCACTCAATAGGATAATGAGAGACCACATCCAAAACAATGCTTTAAGATCAGCCCCAGGCTAGAAGACCTCCAAAGGCCATAAGCAGTCAATAAAGACTCCTGGTGAGGGCCATGAGAGACAGCCCAAGCTTCCAGAAGCTACCCTCTGAACTGGGGAGGCAAATGACCTCTGTGCACATACATCTGAACCTGGGGCACTATCTTGGAATTTCAGAAGCAGTCAGGAGAGAGGACTTTGCAGGTATTCAGTGACAGCCGACAGTAATCCTTTTTTATGTTCCTTAGGTGATTTATATTAACAATTAAATGAAAAAGCTCATGGTATTTCATTGGCCCTTAAAGTGAGGGTTCTAGATCCAGACTACCCAGGTTCCCTGACTCCCATCTCTTCTATTCTTAGCTGAGTGGCCTGGGGCAAGTTACTTAACCTCTCTGTGCCTCACAGTAAAATGGGAGATATTATTAGTTACCACTGCATCAGTTTATTGTGAGGATTTGAGTAATACAAACAAACCCTGGCATATAGTTAATGCACGTAGCTCTCACCTCACCAAAAATGTGAGAAATGGGATGGGAGAAAACAGGCTTAAACAACAAAAAAGAAAAGCAGAGAATTTTGACTCAAACAGATGTGGGTTCAAATCTTAGCGTTGTCTCAACTGGCTATGTGCCCCTGGGCAAGTCACTTACCCCTATGAATTTCTATTCATTACCTGTGAAATGGGCCCAGTATTGCTTAACTCACAGGAATGTGGCTGGTAAGGGAGATAGCAGAGATGAGGCCTAAACCAGAAATCCCAAACTAGCTGGAATAATCTGACCTGCAGCTACTTTTTCTTTGGCCCACACAATGGCCCCTCCCCCATCATGTCTTTAATGAACATTTTCAAACATACAGAAAAGATGAAAGAATAGAACAAGGGACACCTGTACACTTTCCCCCTAGATTTAACAATTTGTCAGATTTTTATATTTATATTCGTATGTACAGTGTTTTGTTTTTTTTAATTATTTAGAAGTAAATTGCTGCCTTCTGGGTACTTCATGTCTTAGCACTTCAGGAGAAACTCAAAGAAAGTTCCATTCTCCTAGATAACCATAATAATATCATCACACCCAAGAAAATGAACAGTCACACGTAATATCCTGTAATATGAAGTCCATTCCTCAATTTCCCCATTTATTTAAAGAATGTCTTTCATAGCTGTTTTTTTTAAAAAAAAAAAAAACAGTAACAAATCAACCCTTACACATTACATTTGGAATAATTTCCATAGTGTTTGTGTATTTCTCATAACCCCACTACTTTTTTTTTGCACTTTCTCCTAATATTTTATTCAAAACATTTTTAAACCTATAGGGAAGTTGAAAGAATGGACCGACACACCTACAGGCCAGGCAATGTTTTGTTTAATTGAACTTGTGCTAGGTCAGTTGGATTTCCAAGTGGGGAAAAAAAAAACAAGACTTCACTCCTACCTCACACTATCCACAAAATCAATTCAAGATGGACTGTAAATCCAAATGTGAACAATTAGATGAAAAAGCTTTCAATGAAAACAGAAAAATATCTTATGTCCTTGGGGTAGGTGAAGATTTGTCAAAGAGAACACAAACACCAACCGAAAGAGACAATGTTGATAAATTGGGCTACCTTAAAAGAAGAATTTCTCCTCATTAAAAGGGGAACAGGGGAATCCCTTGCCGATCTAGACTAGGGTAGAAGTGGTGGTAAGGGAATCCAACTGTAGAGGACTTTGTAGTTTTGTCACTCTGCCAAGGAGCTGGGGAGGCAAGAGGCAAAGCCAAGGGAAAAAATGCCACTGCCCTGGTGAATAGGTCAAAGGTGGCCCCTAACTGGTCTTGGATGAATCTTTTGGGACCCCTCACTCCATCATTCCCCATCTGTAGGACGGACTTCCTCCTGACCATGCTGGGACAGAGGCAAAGAGGATCTAGCCCCTTTAGTTCACACAAAATGGACCCAATTAGGAACGGGGTGGTGGGGATCCAGCAGACTCAAAGCAGGAAATGTCCTCTACAAATGGATTCCCCTACCACCCACTTCTACCCTAGTCTAGATGAACAAGGAATTCCCTTGTTCCCTTGTAAAAAAAGACAGGAGAACTTTCTACATCTGGACTGTATACTGATAATAACTAATCTCTACTCATGTCCCATGTGAAATAACACGGCCTTGAAAATAACTGGTTATTTTTTTAAATGGAAGGGGGAATAAAGATAGATGTCAGAAGGTCCCTACTTAAAATTCCTCCCTCCACACTGTCTTTTCCTTTCCAGATGAGGTTTCTGACTAACTCAGCACGCATTCATTCATTCATTTATTTACTCCTCAGTTGCTCAGTCAAAGAAGCTCACTGCATTCTGGTCTCTGCTCAAATGTTACCTCCTCTCAGATACCTTTTCTCTAAAATATCTTCCTTCTCCCCACCCCAGAACTCTCTATCACCTTACCCAGCTTTATTTTTCTTCATTGCACTTTTCATCCCCTGACATTATATTATATGTAATAGATAATTTGTTTACTTCTTTGTTTTCTGTCTCCCATATCAGAACATATGCTCCATGAGATCAGGATTTTACTTCATTCTCTGCTGTATCCTTGCCTGTAACATGGTGCCTGGAGCCCAGCAGCTACACAATAACTGCTGAAGGAATGCTGAAAGAATAGCGAGTGTGCACTAAGCACATGCTGGGCATGGCAGTTACAGAGGGGGATGTTCTCAAAGCCCTGTGGCAGGACCAACAGGGAGGTGGGGAACTGTGATACAATGTGATGAGCATGGTGGAGCTCATGGGGCCAGCAGTCAGGGTGGGCATCCTGAGGGATTCTAGGTGGTCTTTGAAGGGCAGTTGAGACAGGCTTGCTCTAGGGGCAGTGAGAGGCAGCCTGCCTGGCTAGAGCAGCTGGTCCCTCCAAGGAAAAGGAAAAGGGGAGGGGTGAGGTGGAGGGGGCCTGACCCTGTGGCTCAGCAGAGTCTCTGGAGTCAGAGTTGGTCTGGTGACCAACCAGTCAGGCCTCTTCCTCACCCTCACTCTGTGATCTTAGCAAGTCATTTCGCCTCTCTGAGCCACCATTTTCACATCTGTAAAATGGAGATCATTTGGTTCCTTACTGAGGTTGCTGTGAAGAGTTGAGAGAGTATCTATAAAGTGTCTGGCATGTAGTAGGTGTTCAATCAATGGGAGCTGCCATTACACTCACACGTTTTCCTATGGGCCATGGGGAGCCCTTGAAAATTTAAGAGGAGGGAAGTGGCTTAAAGAAAGGGAGGTCCCTGGAGAAATCCCAGGACAGCACAAGTTGGGCCTCATGTGCTTGTCAACACCCATTTACAAGCTTGCTCAAATCAAACACATAAAGAAAAGGATCAACAGCTTAAGGTTGAAGGTCACAAGTAACATCATGCCTTCCCACCCCCTCAAACTCTACTGGAGAAGGTTCCAGGCACCAGTTCTGAGGAAGCCATTGCACAGTCTATATACACTAATCACCAGTAGTGTGATAACATCACAGACAAAGGACTATCTCAGAGGCATGAGCAAATAATATCACTGACATGTGCATAACTGCTCTGCAGCCAGGAGCTTCAGCACTGAGTGCTCCAGTGCCAGGAATGCCTAGCTGGCTGACCACTGACTATAAGGTTCAACCTAGTAACTTCTAGTCTGGCAGTGACTAATCAGCTCACTTCAGAGGAAACTGAGGCTCTACGCGAAAGTGGCAGGTATCACTTCCACCAGCAGCTTTAAAAGCCAGTACGTCTTTTGCTATTTTTTTCTATCTCCATAACCATTAACGTTCCACAGAACAGCTGCCCCATCAGTGGAGTTACAAAGTAAAGAGGAAACTCCCTCAGCCCCATCTGGGCAGTGATAAACCTGTAGGGAGACCAAGAAAGAAAACTTTGTTTTAAGTCTCTGAGA